TCTCTCCTCCCAATAATGAGCTTGCGAGTGAGTTTTTACCCCACTTCTTAAAAAAAAGAAAAGAAAACAGAAGAGTCTCCCCACCCCCCCCCCCCAGAAAAAAAAAATTTAATGTCCATCATTATCAGAGTTCATAGTCAACAATTTTAGAAAGGCCTAGCCATGGAAGTTCTCACCTATGAAGAAGCTAAGTGGAACATTAGAGTTTAGTTGCTAGGATGTTGGTTCTCTAAAGGGGATTGATTGATAGGAACCAGTCTCACATTGAATAGTATGGAATATTCTACCAGGTACCTAAATGGATTGAATCTCCCACCCTCAATAGTTACCTTTTGGATAAGGATTCTCAACCCCGGTTGGGTGCCCAACACATGCACAAAATACAGATCGATGAAAAATATTCTCACTCATGTTTACTCCACTATGGTTAAAGAGTAGCTCACCTCTCCTATCCACATTACAATTTCCAAATTTGAGGGTTCATAAATTACTGCAGATGCATCCTCACAGACTTTACGCAAAGCAGAAGCACAAGCATTTGAAGACAGAGGCTCTGAAATCCCTATAGCAAGAAATAATCTGAAAGTAAAAATAGGAAATGTGAGAACCAAGGAAGAAAAAGCATAAAATATTGTCAATCAGCAAGAACCAAATAAATTCAACAAAATCACTATGGTTCAGCTACAAAATTTCATAAAACCTGATTGGATATATCTGAAAGGGAAGCATATGGTAATTTGCAACAATTGCACCAAATAGTCCATTAGAACCTTTCTATCCCACCAAAAAGTAAAAGTACTCACAACAAGGGCCTAAAATTTGACTTAAAAGCAGATATCCACTTAGAATAGGAACCAACAGCGTCTGCCAGAGATCTGTATACCTATTTAAAAGGAGAAAATGAAATTATTTGGGGAATAAAAAGAAGGAAAAAAAACAGCATGCCGCTTAGAAATGAGTACCAATGGAAGAAATGAGGGAAAAATCATATAAAGCTTACAATGCAGATGAAGCCATTCAGCCCATCAGAAGGCTTAGTTGACAACATTGTCACCAACTGCATTACTACAGAGGAATCAAAGGTTTGGCCATCCTGTATGATTACCTCAGCAACCTAGAAGAAAACATATACATATACATATACACACTCATATATAACTAGATTATCGTGTGTTAAACATGAAAACTGCAAATTTGCAACCAATGCATGCAGAATAGAAAGAAGCAGGCATTATACTGATTTGTTCAAGACAAAATGACAAATGGGGTTTTCCATGGTAAGACAATTTTGTCATGAACACAATTGTACTTTTAAGCCAAACACAAAGATACAAAGATTTTTCTCTGTTGAATGCAATGACGCAGAAGATAAAACCCAACCTAGAAGCAAGCACGAAAAAAGAAACAAAATCTTCCAGCATATTCCTATAAAAAATTGTCTATTCTATTTTGTGCCCCCAATATTCTCCAATCTCATTTTACTAGTGATTCACCAGAAGTACTCAATACCCCAATTCATGTTAAATCTTCAGCGTCAGTTTTTAAAGCATAAATAAACAAATTCTAGACTCTCAGTATATTTCTTCTAAAAAAGCAAGTTTATAATGGCATACAACTAAAAATCCCACTCAAAGCATAAAGGTACATAAACTAAAACATAGTGATACAAACCGCATTAAGAACAAACAGCTTGCTTTCAACTTCCTTCCACAGGATTGGCAGATTAGGAGATCCCCAGCCGCCAATAAATAGCTGCAGAGACAGTGATATTCAAAGTGAGGGAAATGAAGTAGGAACATTATCAGAACTTCCTTTAACTAATTCATAACAGACGAATTGTACAGGTTTTTGAATTGGTCAGCCATACTACAGTAGCACAGATCGCCATGCTCAAGATCAAGATTTGAATAAGGAGGGAAAGAGCAGTTCAAGTGGAAAGATTTCAATTAATCTTATCATAGTTCCGTCATATCAAAACAAAAACTTCATTCAAATTTCAAATAATTAATTTTATATATAACTAACTTGTCCATTTACTAATGATCCCACATTATCAGACAGAAGAATTTTCTTCTGCTCACACCAGTTTACAATTGGATATTATAAGTTATTTAAGAAATGAAGTATCCCATGCTAGAATGTGTAAAACATCAAACCTACACAAAAAGCTGAGTTAAAAAAGAGTGGAAGGAAATAGACTTTTGAAAAGCACCTTCTGCATAAAAATGGCAGATCCTAGTAGGTGACAGATATCCACCAAAAGTTCAACTAGATTCATCCTGAAATGGACCAGACCATCAGGTAAATCAATCACTCTGCTCTCATCATTATACGTGGAATCATCTACCTGTAAGTGCCCAAGAAGATAAAATTAGAACATTAAATCTGTTAAAACATAAGATATCTCAACACCTAATCAACACAAAACAAAATTCATGAAGATCAATTAACTAAGCTATGTGCTCCTAAAACTACATCGTTGCTCCAAAAAGAAAATGAAAATCCCAGCTATTCAAAAACACCAAGGGAAGACGTGACACTAACAAGGCAACAGGTAAGAACCGAGTGCTAAGGATCTCTTATTGTGTGTTTCGTTTTCAGTTTGTCAAAAATCTGTCTATCAAAGGTACACATTAGCCAAGCTGAAAGCTAGAAGTACCCTAGATCGCGTTTCAAAAATGGGCTTTTAGCATCTAAAAGCTTGGTTGTGAAATGAACTTTCTGATCACAAAGAAAAATACCCAAACAACATTTGCCAAAAGCCTGTTTCACAAAAGCACTTTTGGGCTCTCAAAAGTCCAAGCCAAACACTCTCCTAGACAATTTATAACAACATCTCTGTTCATCATGCCATAATAGCTACCACGGTTTCTTTTAAAGTGTTTGGTGCGGGCGGATGATTCTCAGGACATGGAATTCCAGAAATGTCATAGCATCAGTCTCATGATTAGGGTGATGTCTATGCAGCAGATTTCATCCTAGCATTATTTCCACTTATAATTACATAAGCCAGAAATCATAAAAGTGATACCACCAAATGAAAAGCAGCAACAAGTAAAAACCAAATAGATAAAGAAGAAACCTGAGAACGTAATAAAAGTGAATCAAGTAATGCTGAGAACACAGATGAAAAAATGCCTTCCACATGTTTCCTACTTTTTGCACCATCTTCATCAAGGCCGAGAATATAGCTAGCAAGAGTGGACCTGAGACAGTATATTGGGCGCTCATGAGCTGAGACAAAATCTCTAAACTGACTGCTCCCACAAGGATGTAAACTATAAACATTCGTATCGTAGAACCAAAAACAAAAAATCTATTATTGTTCTCACAAATATTTTGGGATGTAAAAGTGCATGTACTAGTGTTGCCACCAATAATCAAACAGAAAGCTGCGTGCATTAAATTGAAACAGCAACAGAATTTAAGAGCACGGAAAGGGAAGGGAGGAGAGATCACACGAGCATATGAACAATAAAGGACATAGGTAATGCAAACTAAATAAAAAATTGTCAACCCAAAGGCAAAATTACCAAAACTGCAATGTTGAGTCTGCAATCTCCCAATCTTCACTTGGAAATGCCACACATCTGCATGCGTATTCAGCATGTTAAACTCTTAAGCAAGCTAATTTGACAGGAAGCAGTATGCCCCATAAATACACATAATTGCGATAATCCAAGAAAAGGGCCTTCTGAAACATGCTTATGCAAGTACCTGAATTGCAGCTCTTCAGTTCAATTATTAAATCCAATATAAATTTCAACCAGAACATTATAAAGCAAGTCCATAAAACCAGCTATAGTTGGAGCTTGAAAATGCACAAAAAACATTAAAGCAATAAGTAACTAAGAATTAATTTGAGTCATTACCTCAAGAGTGCATCTGCCAGTGCAAGGGCTTCTGGACTAGCTTCAACAATAAGGCATGGAGCCTAGCATACATTCAAAGAAGGGGACTAGTTACATACGATGGATGAAAAAACAAGACAAATGATAAAAACAATGAGCATATGGTTGCATCATTGGCATATTTCCACGAAACATAAGATACTTATTTTCTCAAGAAGAGAGGATATTTCTCCAATGTTACTTTAGACAAGCAATGAAATTTCAAACGGGCAACACAATAAAATGATTAACATGAAGAGGATTTGACAATTCAAAAAAATAGTTCTGTTTTTACTTATAACAATCTTTTGGAGCATCAATTCTCATTTAACACTTACAGCCTGCCCAATTTCTGACAGCAAGCATGCAAGGCCACCAATTATTTTCTCGTCTCCCCTGGAAAGAGCTGGTAAAAGAAGTACTTCCTTGAGATAATGTACTCTGCATAATAAAACCTGGGGCACCCCCTAAACAAAAAGCACAGATCAAAAGAGATGGATCTTTCATATTCAAACGACTTTGCACATTAAAAATTTGAGATGAATGTAGTGCAAACTGGTAAGATTTACACCTAGAATATCCTAATTGAGCCAGACAAAATATTAGTCTTTTTCTCAACTGGCATAGTCTTCATAGCTATGTGGATGCAAATAAGAATTTGACATTTCATTTAACGTACCCCACCTAGCTCATATCTTATTTCTAAGAGTTGACTTGGCCTTGTATCGTGACTGTCATAAGTGATGTGACACTTGTAGACATAACCACAATACATAACCAACTATGCATCGACCCAAATTCATCCAAAGGGCAAGCAAGCAAAACTACATACTTCAAAGGTTCTAGTAAGCACATTTGACCATATCTAAGGACCAAAAAACTCTCCACCCTCTGAGGGTGGAACTTTAAGTCTCTTGCCAGAGAAGTATGCATGTATTTGAAAAAGTATTACTACAATGTATTCGGTTCAGGTAACACCCACATAAGGTGCTTCACTCTTCATGTTTGGTCCCAAAAATAACGGGAAAACAACTCTAATTTCCACAATAAATTTTAAGCACAATAAATACACCAAAAGGAAAAATCATTAAGCATTATGAAACATATACTGACACATGCCATCACAGTAAATAGAGTTTGAATGTCCATCTATAAAAGCAGACAACCATACCTCATGTCGGCTCACTAGTTCAATAAGAACTTCAATGGCCAGATCAAATGATAAAGGAACCTTCCCCGGAAATACAGATACAAGTTAAGCATTAGTAATCTTAACAAAGTAAGAATACTTAATTTAAATACAAACATTGGAAATGAAGTACCTGTAATGAGTTGAATATAAAATTTAGAAGTGGGTGACCTGGCAATGTGCCCTGAGGAATCTCAGAGAAGCAACCTGCTTTAACCTGAATCCAAGAAAGCTTAGTCAAATTAGTATAATATCAAAAGACAATAGAAAACTTTTGATGTAACTCAACATAGGGGCACAGGGGAAGGGGCGATGAAGCAGCACAAATAAATGTCACTCAAGCAAACCCTCTAAAAACTTGTGTGACCCTAATGTATGCAGCATTTCTTCAACTAGAACAAGTCGTAAGCAGAATTTTGTACCCAGCTCAACAAGCAGCGCAATATTTTTCTGTTCTTTTCTTGCTGTTGTATAGAACCATCAAAATTCTTTTCAGATTGCCGCAGCAAGAACTCAAGAACCATTGGCGTATGCGAGAGAAGCTACATAATGAAAATGAAAAAGAGTGCATGGAAGTCAGAGAGAGCAAGAGAGGCAATGGAAAGAAACACAGGGCATATAAGAATGTATCAGACCAAAATTTTCTAAACCTCTTGGCAATAATGGCTTTTTTGTGATGAACTTGTTTTAGAATCAGTGCGTTGGTTGTCAACTACTTCCTCAGGTAGGACAGTAAGCATCTCCAGGACAGCAATATTGCCATCATCCTGGCTCTGCAGATTCTGGAGACTGTAAAAAAGCTTCTCAATTGGATTTCCATGCTCAACAACTCGAAGTACAAGAGCAGAGAGTGCAAGACAAATTTGTGTTAAAAGCTGTCATGAAAATACCAATGAGTCAATCAAAACCCAAACAGAAATAAAATTTATGCTTTCTTTATGACCTACGAGAGTGTGCTGTAGTGCTAGGTAAATATGCTTAGCATCATTATTTTCTAAAAGAAAATGAAAATAAATTTTGGATAAACAGTGCACCTGGGGAGGACCGGTACTAAATCTTTTGGCTGCAAGAAGAAGTGCGTTTAGCAGAGCATCTTTAGCCCCTAACTGAAGTAGATAACCTTCATTTTGTATCTGTATAATCAGACATGTAATAAGCAACAGGATATTCTGTTAAGGCATCTGTATGAGATACTAATGGGATTTTTTTTTTTTTTGGTTGCCATTGGTTCGGATTCCTCGTCAAACGAGAGTAAGAAAAAGTTAGGATTGTCACATTCATACATCGAATATTGGTAGCTAGTAACCACTAAACCGTCTGGTCGTAAATGATAGGGTAAATGCAGCCCATTCCATCTATATTGTTGTCCAACTAAATCAGATTAAAAATAAAACAAAAAATTCCCATATAAAACTTGACAGGATCGAAATGCATGCAAATAGTATAAGCTTAACGTATATCTCTGATTTGGCCGAACAGAGAAAACCAACTGGAATGTGACATGAGCATTGATCTGCTACACAAAACAGATAATCCCGCGTTGACTTCAAGAACATGAATTGCCCATAAATGGGGGGTAGAACTACCATGCTAACTTCCATCATGTCTTTCTAACCCACTGTTTAAAATAATGATCGAACCCCACGACAGCTTCCACATACTATTGTCAATCAAGACATCTCACAATTCACAAGGATTTCTGAATTCCGCCAAAGCATAAAGAGAACGTGTACTCGTTTGGCGGCACTCAAAAGTTTCAAGTTACCATCAGAAATATCAAATTTCCAACAACAGCATCCTCGTTTTTCTTCCCATCCCGAAGCAAACAAGCCTCCTTTCCCTTAAATAAACACACTAAAGAAGGGGGCAAAGCCTGCCCCAATATCTAAACGCGTCTGAGTTGAGATAATCACGAGCTGCACGTGCATCCACAATGCTTACAAAGAAAACTCAAGGTTACCTACGACGAAGTGAAGCAGAGCTGGAAGAGCACGGGGAACAAAAAGAGTAAGCAGAAAAGAGGGGAATGAGAGGGGATGACCTTGCGTTTGAGAATCTGAGCGGCGAAGAACTCGACCTCGAAATCGGAGGGGAAAGAGTGGTGGCTGCGGAGGTGATCGGAGGTGAGAATGGCGGTGGCGACCTCCCAGGCGGCGTCGGTCTGCTGGAACTGAACAAGCCACTGATTGGCAGCGACGCGGTTGCAGGATTGGACATCGTGGTTGAGGACATGGACGGCCTGAGCCACCTTGAGTGGCAATTCCATGGCTTTTGAGTAATAATTATAATATAAGAAATTATAAATTAGGGCGGAATAGTAATTTTGGGGAAATTTTGGAAAAGAGGGAGAGAAGGAGGGAAGGAGGGGGAAGCGACGCCTGGAAGTGCTGCTTCATCGGGGAAGCATCTGGGATGTGATCGGACGGCTACGAGCTGAAGTGGGTTGTGCTCCGTACGTGAGTTTCCCCAGTGACAGACCAGTAGGCTTCTGAGTTCTGAGGGCTACGCCCTTGACTCTGCTACCGAACCACTTTCCCGCATTCGCTTCTTTCCTTATTGGGCCTTTCCTTCCTCCCTCCCCGCCTTTCCCCATTTGCTTTTTATTTATTTATCTGCCATTCGTCCCCAGCTCTTTGCTGCCAAAAAATAAAAAATAACCCTTGGGAAAAAAATTTAGTTAAAAGCATTTGTTTAGAGATTTTATTGGACCAAGACACCTGATGTGTTTTATTTTTGATGAACCCAAAAGTTTTTAGAATGAAAATTATTTGCCTATAACTAAAAATATGATATATAAAATTGAATGTCCAATTAAATTTAGATTATTTTAGCTGACAGATTTTTTAACCAGGTGCTTTTAACATTTCTAGAATTATATTGGTGTCTAGTCATTTCCCATGAATTGCGATTCGCTCTCTTTTCCCCGTTCTAGTGGATGCTTATCGTCTATGTTAGGTGATGACATGACACTAATTCCATTTTCTTCAGTACTTGATTCCAATGTCCCCACGTGGGATGTTTAGTAACTCACTAGAAGATAAAAATCGGACAAGGTTAAGGGATTTAGATGATTTTCCTGTTTATTGTTGCAGGGAAAGAACAAAAAAAAAAGTAATTTATTGTAGAAAATAATACTGGTCTTTAATATAAAACTCTACTTGACTTTATATAAATCTTGAATATAAAATCTCAATTCATCTTATTTTTTCATATTTATCTATTTTTTTAAAGATAATCAATCTACTAACGGTAATTCCAACCAACAAACTTGATTAGTAAGGATATTTTTAAAAAAATAATACATATTTATTAATTCTCCTCTCATAAATATAAAATCTTTTTTGTAATGTAATCTACACTACAAAATAGGTCTTATATTTAGGATCGGATGAATACAAATGACTAACTAATTTATTAACTTTCTTAATCTACTCTAATTAGTCAGCTAGCTCTTATATTTAAGATCGAAGATAGCATCTAATATACTACTACCCCTGGTCCTAATTATAAGACTAGTTGATTAATTTGAAGAATAAATGAAGTAAGTTGAATTAGTTATTTGTCTTAAATAAATGTTACTTACCTAAAATATTCTTGCTAACCAAGTATATTAGCTAAAACTATTATTGTTAGAAGGACTAATTTAGAAAAAAAATATGAATATAAGAGAAAAAATAAATTAGAATCTTATATTTAGAATCAAAATAAAAATCAAATAATATTTTATATTAATAACCAGTAGTTTGTTCCGATTCTACTTGCAAAATCAACTCACCACAGAGTTATCGATGCGTGGTGGCTGACGTCTTTAGATTTGTAGAGACAGGTGTAATTTCCAATCTCATCTCTCTTTTTTTTTTTTTGAGCTGACCAATCTTACGTCTTTAATAAAATTAATTACTACAGTAAAGTGATGTTCAACGGTTTAAAAATTAAATCCATCCATTTCAACTTGTTGCAATTAATCAGAGGTAATATTTTGGGGGGGGGGGACTCACTTCCCATCTTTATCTCGTGTTTAGGATCAAGCGAGACTTTAAAATTTATAATCAAGACTAAAATGATAAAGTTAAATTATTAATATATCACAAAAAAAAGGAAAAATGTCAACAAAATATAGTTGAAATACTTAAATTTAAATTAAGACTTATACTTTTAATAAATTTCTAATTAAGATATGAGTCCTGATTTAAGATTTCTAAATGTTGTTAAATGACCACAATGCTTTTATCTAATTAAACTAAAAATTTGATTATTTTGCTCCTCTCAAGTGACCTCTCACCTCTTATGATTACTTTTAAGACCAAATACACAAAAAAAATTTATAATATTTAAAATTTGCATATATAACTAGAAGTTTCAAAAAGATTTTAATAAAACATTTTAAATTTCAACATAAATAAATTCAAAATAAATAAAATAAATATTTTTTATTTTATGTTCTTAAATATTTATTTTAAGATCTTAAAATATTTTAGTCACAAAAAACATTTAATATTAGGTTCTTATAATATTAGTTTTATTTAGTTAAGCAAACTTTGGATTCCAATCCAAAAACATAATTTGTAAGAACTTAATAAAAATATTTCTTATAATTAAGATATTTTAAGAATTTAAAAATAAATATTTAAAACTTGGAAACACAAAATATTTATTTAAAGAGTACTTATATTATAATTTAAGATTCTTGATTAAAATATTTTTGAAGGTTTTAATTATATATACACCCTTTAAACATTATAAACTTATATGGGTTTTTTAGTTTCAAAAAATAACCATAAAAGAAAAGAGGAATCATTTGGAAGGGTAAAACAATTTAATTTTTTTGTAATTAAAATGGGTATTTTAGTCTCTTAACATCATTTAGAGATTTCTAATGAAACCTTATAGCCTAATTAGAAATTTATTAAAAGTATAGACCTTAATTTAAATTTAAATATTTTAATTGGATTTAATTAGTATTCTCTCAAAAAAATAAATCAACATTGAACTGATTTAAAATTGTGTGATTAAAGAAATAAAATCACAGTATTGTTATTGTCATAGATGACAATAAATTTTGAACTAAATATTTTAAATTTAACTTTTCACCCTCGGTCGAGAATGCATGCAACTCTGCACAAGAATCGGATTCTTCCTCGTGCTATGTGATTTCATTCCAAAAAACAGAAACCCCCGTTTTGAACTGTTCTTGCCCTGAAAAGGTTGAAAGCCCACGAAATGGCAACTCCAAAAACCTGTACCTTGCCAAGACCAATCGCCCAATCATTTCGTTGACTTTCTTCTGCCATCATTCGGTTACTTGTTCGCTTGGCTCCGACCCAGAAGCGGGCTTAGCCAAGTCCCAGCTCCTGAATCGCCGAGCCAGACAACTCGCTCGCCGCCTACAAGACCCCCTTCTGGTTCTGGTAGTTCTTATCAGAAACCTTTCTTTCCTACACTTCCTCGATGAAATCAGCTGGTATGTGCTCACCTCGATCGTCACTTCGTGAACCAGAGCAAGACGAAACCAAACAGTGTCGAGACTGATTAATCATAGAGCAACTTTATGTAGGATGCAAGAAAAGGTTATGCCTTTTTGAAATGATACGCACACCAAAAAGCAAAAATATTGAATGTCAACCAGTTGTACCTTACAACTAAAACCTTACCTTTTGACCTAGTGGGGTCTTTCGGCGCTTCCTTCCCATCAGAAATTAGGAGCTAGATGGTTAGTTAAGTTCGGGTCTCAGGCCAGCCAAACATTTTGACTTCGAATTCGGAGTAAGAATCAAGCATTGCACTTTATGAATCTGCTCTGTTTTTGAGCTTTGGTAAATTATTAACATAATTTCCAAAACATCACCCGAAAAAACCCTCCTAACGTAGTACATGTCTATAGACAGCGCTCCTATTCCTGGCATATAGTTGTGAGTCATGTTCGCATACAGTTTAACTGCTTTCACTTGACAAACTATTCTATAAAGCGGATCATAAAATTAAAGATTTTTTCCCCACACATTTGCCTAGTCCGAGACTTCTTATCCAGTAATCAGTAAAAGGGATGTCTTTATCCTCACCCTAGATCTGACAATTATGCTGATAATGAATTTGTATGTATACAGCATCATCCACTGAGCTCAAAACCACAGGGTTAAGCCATCCAATTAGGCTTACTCTATATTGTTATTTCTTAAGAAGGAAAGGAAATGACGGTAGTAACTTGCACATGGTACTCTATTTATTCGGTTAATTAATGATGATGTGTGCTGTGTTCCATGGATTAGAATCGAAACAGCGTAGTCCTTTCGACAGTGTATTTAAGCGGTGACATCTGGTTGTGGGAATGACCTGCGACACTGAGCTTGAGACGTTAGAACCGGAATAAAGCTGTGACATTTAACAAATAAAAAACGCAGCCTAATGCAAAGCAAATATCTTAAATCACAGTATTATTTGCAGGAGAAATCCACCACATTAGCTTCCTGCTGCACAATTTATGCATGATATAGATGTGGGCATAAACTATACAAATTATATGGGTATAAGTACACAGGAAGTGATACCATTCACAAGCGAACTTGAAAGCGACCATTCGTCTATTCATGTAGCTACTAGACAGGTGTATGAGTCTTGTTATATATTGCGGGTTGGATTTGAAGGGGGGGACTATGGAGATATAAAGGCTGGAAAATGTAGTTAGGGGAAGAGATTATATGGGGGTACACCGTCATGTGCGCGTCTTATTCTGGCGTGCTTTTCACGGTCTCTCTTGAGGGGTCATATCATAGTTCAAGTGTCCATCATTTCCATTCCCCTATGAACCAAGCAATAATCTCTATTTTCTGATCATCTCAAACCACATTCTTCATTCGCTCCACAGATGCCTTAACGAGGATCCCCACGCTCTGTCTGACCCAGCATGTACGTCCACGGTTAGGCCTTTATTCAGCAATTTCTTTCTTTTCAGTCTCGCGTTTCTCGTATTGTCCTGAAATGAGCACACACACACATTCTTGGCGGCAGCACCTGCAAAATAAATATTTAATTCGAGTCACGTCCCAAGGACGCTGTCCTTAAGAGCTATTCCGCAACCACCGTAGATAAGGATGCGGCACTCCCCAAGATTAAACGGATCCTTCCTGTATAACAGGGTGAGCAGAACAGCAGAAGATAGTAGTAAATTCAGCTGGTAAGAGAACACACAAGAAGGAGAAGAGAGGAGCTCGAAAACTCTAGAGCTGTGTGTTCTGAACCATTCTTAATAATAATAAGAAAATTTGTTCACAATTAATACTCAATTTGTTTTTATCTTCCCATATTCCCAATTAATGTAGGATCCTTTCTTTGACACACCCAAAAAATATTACAACACACACATATATTGATTCAGTTCAGTTTGATTTCTTATTTGATTATTGAATTAAATGCGCAGTTGCTGAGTTTAATGGTGAGTTCGGCCACAGGCATCATAAATGGGCCAGGGTCTGGTAATGCATGAGGAAGAGATCGATTAAACAGGTGGCTTGACGACGACGGGAGCTCTTCAGAAACGAGTTTTTTAAATGGAGGCCGAGTATTAATTAGTCACTGCATATATATGCCCTGGTGGGTGAGGAACTTGACTGAAGGTAAACTAACTGAAGGTTAGGAAAATTGGTAGAATTTGATGGTGAGTTCGTCGATGCCTACATATGAAAGGTTGCAATTATAAGCCAATAATGCATTTGCATGTGTGTGGGGTGAGCTGGAAAGGTGTTAAGATCATAGTAATTAATGTAACTTTCAGAAGAAAATATTGTAACTGCTGCTTAAATACTTTCCTAAACTTTCCCATTTTGAATTCCTTAATTTTCATTTGTTGCAAATGGCCGCACAAATTTTTTTCCCTCGGTACATTAGTTGTGTGCAGCTGAATCAAACTGCTTTTTAATGAGCAGTGGTTCTTAATTAGTTGTTTGTAAACAGATTATAATCAGTATATTATATACTTTTTCGGTTTAAAAATATGCATGGCTTGGAAATTTCGGGCCTTTGTTTCCAGATATTCATCATTTTAAAATGGTTAAAGTATATTTTTTGCCATTTAATTTTATATAAAGATTCAATTTAGTCCTCTTAATTTCATAAAGTATATTTTTAATCATTTAATCATAAAATTGTTTTAAAAAAAGTGATGCTATTGATATCCTGAGTGGTGATCATGATATAAAGCATTCCTAAATAAATCCTAACATATTAAGTTTGATTTTTAAAACAACTATAATTGTTTTAAAAAATAAATTAAGACTAATAATATTAAAATTAAAGAATTAAAAATAAAATTTCAATATAAAATATTAATTAGTTTTAACTATTTATCCTTCGTTAATAAGACAGATCAAGAACCGTTGACAAGATATACTACTCGCACATAAGGACGGAAGGAATTTGATAAATGACTATTCATTAGGTAGTGGAGTGCAGTACAAACATTAAAAATCCAAAAAGTGAGCTAATTAAACAAGGTCAAAGTGGATAAATTTGAATTTTGAAATATATATATATATATATATATATTAATAGCCGCGCAGTGAGTTCATTATTTAGCCTGGTTTCTTTATCATCACTGGCGGCAAAACGAAACCAACGAGTGTGAAGATGCAGAAACTGGCGGAGACAAGCGCTTAATAAAGAGACAAAACTGAAGGAGATAAGACAGTGGAATTGCAGAGTGAGATAAGAATCAAATCCTGTATTAATGACATTAGGTTTTACCGCGTGAGGGTCTGGACTTTTTAAACCGGGTTTAAGCAGCATAACGTGAGAAAATAAAGGGCCATTAAAGAGCGTAGAAAATGAAAGGAAATACAGGAAATCAGCCAGTTTCAATACTAATCATAATAACAAGTATCATAATGCTAATCAAATTTTAGTCATTCAAATTTAATATGAATAACTAAAATTTAATATTTAATTTTTTGTTATTGCTTTATATAACATGCAAACACTCCATTAAATATAATTTTCAAAATAAAAATAATTATTATAAAAAATTATTTTTTGAAATGAATGGAATTAAAATTAAAAAACTCAAGAGATCATTTTTAAAATTAAATATTAAATAGTCAAATTACAATCTTATCTAAAGCTACTTTTTAAAATTAAATATTAAATAGTCAAATTACAATCTCATCTAAAGCTGAAGGTTAAAAATATATGTTTTTATCAAGAAGAAGGAAATCACAATCAAATCTGTAAAGAATGGGCAAGGGGCATAAAGAAAAAGAAAGAAACCACAATTGAAGAATTAAATTCGTATTTCATCATAGAAATAGAAGAGAAAAGAATCAAAGTCATAAAGAAAGACAAGAAAGAAAAAGAAAAAGCAAGAAACCATCATAAAAACTGTCCCACCAAGGCATCAAGTGGAATAAGTAAGTATCATAATGCTTACCAGATCTCAACCATTCAAATTTAATATAGATGATTAGGATTTAATATTTAATATATTTTTTAAAATTTTTTTTATAGGTACATGATCCAAAATAAATATAATTTCTTAACTATAATTTTTATTTAAAAATTACTAATTAAAAAGTTTTAAATCTAAACATTAAAACTGTATTTGGATATTTGGATAGTTTAGATTTTATCAGCATCATGCTCACACCGAAAGGAAGATGGGGTCGCCACACTCGCCAGAAGGGGAAAAATAAGAGACGAAGAGCTAATTATTAGGAGACAGCAAGTATGGGAAAATGCATGGATCACCACTCCATTGCATCCACCTAACAATTTTAGCCTTCATTGCACACCGTTACACAACAGTATATGCACTCCCCCACGCCCTTGCCTTTTATCCTCTCTGAACCTACCAACCAACCGCCTCCATTATTAACCTGAACTCAACAACAATCTCAAGTTCTCAATCCTGTCATTGTCTGACACTTGTTTCTCTCTCACTCTACACTTACATATGCCTGCAAATTAAGTAGTATGTACCAACCCTATTCCACGATCACCTTCATTTTCCTTTCTCGATGTCATTATTCGTTCTCCGAAATCTTCTCTCTTGACTTCGTGTCACAATCTAAGCCATTCTAATCAGTTTCGCAAGTGTGTATATATATATATAGATCAGCAAAGGTAAACAGCACGCACATATTCATATTTTGAATACACAGACAAGAGGATGGGAACTATTTGCCAAGAAGTTCCTCCTTTGCCTCAGGATCTGAAGGTGAGGATCCAAAACTCGTGCATGGTTTTTCCATCCAAACAAACGGAGAGAAGGTCCATGTTCTTGTCAAACATAGACAAGGTCCTCAATTTCGACGTTGAAACTGTTCACTTCTTCGCATCCCAGGAGGATTTCCCTCCGGACATTGTAGCTGAGAGGCTGAAGAGGGCGTTGGCCGATGCTTTGGTGCCTTATGACTTCTTCGCCGGAAGACTGAAGCTCAACTCTGAAACCGGTCGGTTGGAGATAGACTGCAACGGTGCGGGAGCTGGGTTTGTGGTGGCTTCCAGTGACTTGGAGTTGGATCAGATAGGAGACTTGGTCTACCCTAATCCAGCTTTTGCTCAGTTAGTTCATAAGAATAAGGATTTTCTCAAACCGGGTGATCAGCCACTGTGTGTTTTCCAGGTACGACATGAACATACTCTCCATCCTTATCAATTCAGTTGCTTTTAATTCCTTGGTTTAAAGTCTTCATTATCTTTCGTCTCTGCATGTGAAGAGGTGAGTTGTGTTCATCCGTATGCTCTTTGTATAATTGTGCGTGGCTAGGGCATGGGTAGGGTTTGCTTTCAGGTCAGACATAATTACATGAAAGTAGTTTGAAATTAATGTCTTTCTGATCCTTTCCCAAATGCATGTGGACTTTAATTTCTAGCTAGCCTTTCAACGTTGAACTATAACATCTATCCGTGGCACGCCCGCGGGCGGTTCCGAAATCACGATATGATGATTTCCTTTTTCTGAACAATAAATAATGTATCTGCTTTTTCTGAGCGATTCAGTAATAATGCGCCGAAAAACTTTTTGTTCCGCATCTCTTTTCAACTTATACTTTGATGGCAGACGTGGAACTAAGACTTACTGTACTTTCAGATCTCATCACGATCATGAAGTTGCTGGCTCTAGTTTCCGCTTTTAGATTCACAAAAACGCAGAGACGATCGAATATCTGTCTCTCATATTCTGTAATTCTCTTGCACGTAAACCAACATGTATGTGTCAAAGTTAATCTGTTGCTCATACAAACTAGGGCTTTTCATTTGCTATGAATTTTTGTTGTTATGTGATTGGCATCAAATATGTTAGTACTACTTACTGCTCTTGAGGTTTCTAGTTATATGCTTTTCTAGCTGGCTCGTCCCTTAGTTTTATTTTGGCAAAATTATACATGGTGAGTTAAAAATGAACATCGCCTTATGGTCTTTTTGGCATGAGAGAAATGAAGAGAAGGGGAGAGGAAAGAATTTTAATGGGTTCGTTTGAAAAAATTAAAGAAGTGGGGTTATAAAATTTGTTGTTTAATTTGTTGTTGTTTTGCCCGCAGGATTTGGAAAATTGTTTGCTTTGAATCAACGTGTATCAGATATTATTACTAGCAGCTATTACAAGAATTACGGAATCAATCCATTCATGTAATGAAATATAAGTGCCAATTTAATGCGCTAGTTAGACAGCCGAAAAGTTAGCTTTTTCTCAACAGCATTGTGGGATCACTTATTAATGTGAAAGTGATTCAGAAGGAAATCTGGAATGCGACAAGTATTGTTATGTCAAGGCATGCAGCAGATATAATTATAATTAAACAAACATTGAAAGAATTCATCACCATAGTAATTTAATTAATTATTAATTAATTCTGTTTTTTCATGGCAGCTGACGTCCTTCAACTGTGGCGGCTTTGCGATTGGGATCTCAACCAGCCACACCACTGTCGACGGCATTAGCTTCAAGATCTTCTTGGACAACCTTGCCGCTTTCGCCGCCAACAAGCCCTTGGCCGTGACCCCTTCCCACGACAGGCATCTCCTGGCCGCTCGATCCCCGCCACGTGTTCCCTTCAGCCACCCCGAGCTCCTCAATCTCGGTAACCTCCCCGTCACGGGCCCCGAGTCTGGAGTATTCGAAGCCTCCTCTGAGCACCTCGATTTCAAGATCTTCCGTTTAACCGCCCACAACATCAACCACCTCAAAGCCGAGGCCAAGGCCAATGCCACTGGAGCCGCCCGCATCACCGGCTTCAACGTCGTCACCGCTCTCGTGTGGAGGTGCAAGGCGTTATCCGCGGGAGATGATCCGAATCGGTCGTCGACTATGCTGTATGCTGTGGATATTAGGTCGCGACTGAATCCTCCGCTGCCGAAGGCCTACGCCGGAAACGCGGTATTGACTGCGTATGCGACGGCCAAGTGTGAGGAGTTGAAGCGAGGTCCCTTTGGTCGGTTGGTGGAGACGGTGAGTGAAGGCGCGGTGAGAATGACGGATGAGTACGCGAGATCGGTGATAGACTGGGGGGAGCTGTACCATGGTTTTCCGAACGGTGAGGTGCTGGTGTCGTCGTGGTGGAGGCTAGGGTTTGCAGAGGTGGAGTATCCATGGGGAAAGCCTAGGTATAGTTGTCCAGTGGTGTATCACAGGAAGGATATTATCCTCTTTTTCCCCCCAGATGATGAGGCTGAAGGCGGCGGTGGCGTTAATGTTTTGGTGGCACTTCCTCCCAAGGAAATGCAGAAATTCCTCAAACTCTTCCATGAGTTCTTGAATTGATAGAGATCATTGGATGAACATCTTCTCATAATTTATTCTTTTACATATATTTATATGCATATAAGTATTATAAATACGTGATTACTGGCACAATTGATGATGATAATCCCTGGGTGTAATTGTAGAATAAGCTATAAGGATGCTAAGAAGAAATATATACTAGATAATTATTGCAGATTTTCAGCTGCTTTCTACGAAGGTGGAGCTTCTCATGGCGTCGAGTCAAGGCACTGGGCATGAGTTCCCATGCATTGCCTGTGAGCAAAAGGATTTTCTTCACAACTGTTTGTACAGTTACTTGGATAAGTTCTTGTGAAATACGCTTTCAATATATAAAAATTTCCCAGGTATGCCAATCTCTGTTTTCTGGAAGAGGGGAGAGAGGGATTAATGAGTAAGTCAGCAATTGAATGAGAAACTATTGATCGTGATAAGGCTGGGATTAGATCAACATTAGTACAGTTTTGTGTTTTTTAAAAAAATATTTTCTGTCCTATTTTGCTGCAGTAATGATAAATAGTTGAGCAATAATGGTCCCTTATGGAAAAATGAAAAGGAAAAAGGATAATAGTTGAGTTGATATTTTATAGAAGGCATTTTTGTAAGCGTCACGGTAAATATTTATAAAAGTTGGTAATATTGCATATCTTGATAATAAAAATTTCTCCCATTTTATTAACTTATAAAAAACTATATGAAGGGTGTACATTTCATCAATTTGACGACTCAACTTTAACAATTCGATATATTATGAATACATAAATTTAGAGAGTGTTTAGTTTTCCACAATAATATTTTTTACATAAATTGAAATAAAATTTTCCCATATCCTTATTTTACTTTTAAAATCATTACCCAAACACCCAGACGTAAATTTGTCCGGTGTTTGACATGGACACTTTACTTTCATGCTCCCCGGACCCACAAGTAATTAATTTAATTGACATTAATATTGACTAAGCCCTGCCCGAGACACATCCTTCTTAGGAAAAGACAACCAAATTTGGGGGACATACAAGCGAACCATCGCCGCACATTAACATGTCGGCTCAATATATATACATATATATATATATATTGTATCTTTTGTTATGGTTTTGTTGGCGTTTTGATTAGTTTGGAACCTTCATATGAGAATAGGCGGACAGCATTTTGGTAACTTAATTCAGCAAGTTCTTCTTTAGGAATCTCCAGCATGGACGCAACGTAACCCAGTACCTGCATGTGAAATTGGAAAAAAAAAAAAATGAGAACCTTAAATAAAGCAATTATCCCCTGCTTTGCGTGTTGTACTCTGCACACAACAGCTGTAAAGCATCAAAATTGCGTCTTGAATGTGATTAGCAGAAAGTCATTAGATTGAAGCATGCAAGTCAACCCCTGAAAAATCTCATGGGATTGGGATCATCGCTAAAAATTTGAGGACTTTGGCCACATACGTTGCGAATGTTTGCTGGATGATTGAGTGTTTCCTTTGGCAACGTTGAAGCATCAATGGGGAAGCCAGAATTTGAGGAAAGAGTGGTTTGGCCACGAAGGTCCGGCGGGAGAGAAGGATCCCCTTCAACGAGAAACAGAGAATCTACGTTTGATCTCAGTAGTCCATCTGGCGCATCTGTCTCCAATAAAACCCTATCACATGGTACCTAAATGGGATATAGATTTTAAGAAAAGCCTTGGTTCTGACATATATAACATGACACAGATCAAATTTGATCACATGACCCAGGTTTAGAAAAATTACCATCTTCAGCATTTCCTCCGCCTTGTCTGGTTTTAGAAACAAAAGATGCCCAGAGAAGGAAAAATAAGCCCCAAGCTTGTGAAATTCAGGAACCATCTCCGCAGAACCTATGTAGGAATGAAGGATGACACCAGCGGGAAATGGCCCGATGGACCTGCCAATTTTGAAGTTTTTATGACACTGTACATTAGAAGAGTTTCAAACAACTAGGGAATATGCTTTAGAAGTAAGCAATGAGATCAAGAATCGGATTGATGCTATCGGAAGTGCGTCACAGAATGCATCTTCTATTGGTTAAAATGATAGCAAGAGAACTCTGTTTCGCACACCGAATCAATCTCATCTGGAGAGAGAGTTTTGCATTTGAATAATCATTGAAATGTCATTGTCACTAAACTAAGTTTTGTAATATGAGATATTGATATTCATACTTCATCAGCTGAAGAAGTTCATCAAAAGCATCAACACAGTGGACAGATGCTGGCCTGTTCAATTCTTTTGCTAGCTCAAGCTGCAGCCGCAGTACTTCAACCTACATTGATGTCTTGATGCATAAGGGAAAAAGTGTAGCCGATATCCCAAAAGTAAGGAATAGAACATGAAATTACTTTATATACAACCTCATTGGGCTATTGACAACATCTACTCTCCTATTGAAGTGATTATTTGCAGATATTCATCTTTAAGAAAAGGAAAGCTAAATAGAAGCATTTGCAGATTGGTCCGAGATGATGACGACGAAGCTATGAAGATCATTGACAGAAAAACACCTTTATAAACAGTTGAGGGGAAAGAGAAGGAAAAACCTGTTCTGAGAAATTAGAATGCGTTGCAAGTGGTCCTTTGTCCACACCAATCTGAAATAAATTAGAAGTATTACGTATAACCAAAAGAGGAAAATCTATTGCAACAAGTGTTAAGCACACAATACCAGAGTTACACATTAAGTCCCTGAAAATCGTCATGTGAAAACTTCCATCTAATGAGTCAATACTAAACAAGCTTTTGCAGTCATCACAGATATACATATATGTATATTGCCAATCAGCAATCCCCATTACTAGCTTACAGAACATAATCCATAATCCAAACAAGAGCTTTTTTTTTTTCCTTATGCAAATAAACCCAATTTCTTGTAACAAGTGGATTTTGGCAAACCTCAAGGGGACAGAAAGAAAGAGATACCTCTCCGACTGCAGCAGAGGGTGTAGCATCAAAATATTCTTTGAGGGACTTCAACCAACTGGGGCTTCTCTCCGCAATAAACCTGCAGGTGGAGAACTTTAAGACAGTTAATTGATCCACAGCCGAATAACTTAACCCGAAAACGAAAGGCACTGAATAACACCATGGATGGAGGCCAAAGCAAGGAATGACAGAAGGATAAGTGTCGCTCAAGTCCTTAACAAAGTGCCAGTCTTTCTCGGAAACTCCGTTAACGGCAAAGCAGACAACCCCAGTGTCAAGGGCAGTATTAATGAGTTGGGGTGCCTTGTCTAAGACTCGGGGGTCCTGCAGGTGACAGTGGGCGTCGAACAGTTTCATCATCGCTGCTTCTCAACCCTCTCAAACTATGATCTTCACGAACCAATGGGGTAGCTTCTACACGGTACCATTTCCGCCTTGGATTCAGATAGACCATAGCGAAATGGTTACTTCGTTGACTTTTATTTTTTTAAGAAAGATCTAACGTGGCGTATGGGAAAGCAAGTGTGTGTTCTACGATTATGAACTTACATCGGTTCCTTTTCTTAAACTTCTCTGAGATCTCGTCGAGTTTTATCTTCTTCTTTTTTTTTCAACAAAAAAAAAAACTTAAGTGACTGGGCTCACAAAATCAGGACATGCCAGTAAAATACTCATTTGGTCCTAAATATAAGACTCTTATATTAGTGTGTATAAGAATCTTACATTTAATATTAGAGAAGTACTCTTTTGGTCCTTAATATAGGACCCAATTCTTGAGTTGATTTTGGTCCTAAATATAAGACCTATTTATCATATTTATCAATTTTCTCTAAATTAACCCCATGGATACTCCCTCAACCATAATCAAATAGAAGAGGGAGAGGGGTATTAAGAAAGATGATTATGTATTTTAGGAAAAATGTGTCATATTTCTTATAAATAACTAACTTACCTAACTTTCTTAATGTAATCAAATTAGTTAAATGAGTCTTATATTAAGGACCGGATAAGTATCATTTACGAATACTCACAACCCATCGTGAGAATTTCGTTGAGTTTTTCCTTTTACTCTCTTGTAGGATATTCTCGTACGCCGCCCAACTGATGTGGGCATTTCCCTGGCCTGATTAATTCCTAGCTCACAATGAACCGAGATTGACCATAGATTCGCCCCTCCTTCTTCTTCTCTTTCCCGGCTTTGCTCTGTTCTTAGATAATGTCAACTACTACTAACACTGAATGAGGACGTTGAAGAAAGTAATTACAAAAATTAGAATTATTGCCCTCAGTTAGAATATCTTTTTTGTTTTTTGGTCCACCCCATCAGTTGAAGTAGAGACTCAAAAAAATTGAACGGCACATTGCATTTTTTGTGATTTAATCCAATTGATTTTTTGAAGTGTTAGTAGTTAATACTCTTGTCATTGATCCAATAACAGCTGAAATTATCACGTAATATTTTACATCAAAATATTAAACAAAACATTCATTCCACTTTTAGTCTATTCATTACCGGGGTTGATGTAATTTGTTGAGACTTGAGCAATTCGAATAATTTGTGCATGGTATTTGTCATCTACATATTCCTCTTTAACGGTCCTCTTTATTTTTTGGCTAATAATTTGGTATCGCCAACGTTAATCAATTCATTCACATCTTGCAGTTGACAAAATTTGGCAGGCCATCAGGCAGATTAACATAAGCAAACCAAGACAAGCAACCAACAACCTCTGGTCGTGATTTTGATCACATTTGAAGGACCTTGGAACCTTCGTATGAGAATAGACGGACTGCATTCTGGTAACTTCGTTCAGCAAGTTCTTCTTTAGAAATCTCTAACAGGGATGCAACGTAATCAAGCACCTGCATGTACAATGAAGACCTCAGTGTCTAAACAAAATTATTACTCTCTACACCAAATAATTGTAATTCATAGTTTATCCCTCTTCATTTTCTGATTTTAAATTTCTTCTTCCTAAACACAGCCACGCACATGCAAGCACCATTCATTCATACGTATTAAATATGTCAAAAACGATCGTCTTTAGCAGACATGTTGTTATCTCCAAGAAAGCAAGTTAACATGTTAGAAGATTTCATGCAATCACTGTCAGTAAAACTCAACTTCTAACTGCAAGTGAATAATGGGAAAAAGGGTATGCTTCTCTACAATAAACAAGATAACAATAAAGATGATTATATAAGCCACATACGTTGCGAATGTTTGCTGGATGATTAAGCGTTTCTTTTGGCAAAATTGAGGCATCTGTGGAGGAGCCAGAAGTTGATGGAGTTGAATGGCCACGCATATGTTCAGGGAGAGAAGCATCTCCTTCAATTAAAAAGACAGAATCTATGTTTGAATTTGGTAGAGCATCTGGGGCATCTGTCTCCAATAAAATCCTATCAGATGATACCTAAATGGAATATGAAGTTAAGACCAGTCACAGTCTTGACATACAAGAGATTGTAAGATTGATCACATTTCAGAGCTTATGAACATTACCATCTTCAGCATTTTCTTCGCCTTGTTTGCTTTTAGTGACATAAGGAACCCAGAGAAGGAAAAGTAAGCACCCAGCTTGGAAAATTCGGGAACCATCTCGGCAGAACCTAGGTAGGAATGGAGAATGACACCGGCAGGGAAAGGCCCAATGGACCTGGAAATTTTGAAATTTTAAAGGAATAATGCAAATTAGACGGCTTAAAATGAGAATTCACTTTAGCAGAACTAAGCAATCTGGAAAAAAATTACATTTGAAATTTTTTTTACTTATACTCGTCATTAAACAATTTTTGGAACTGACAATTGAAAGAAACAGGAAAAGATGAGATATCAGTATTCGTACTTCATCAGCTCTAGAAGGTCACCAAAAGCTCGAACACAGTGGACAGATGCTGGCTTGTTCAACTCTTTCGCAAGTTCTAGTTGCTGCCGTAATACGTGAACCTGCAGAGATGTCTCAACACATTAGCAAAAATCTAGCAAATATTTTCAAGCAAAAGAATGAACAGAACATGAAAGCTGAAGCTACTTCCTAATCTTTATTAAACCGTCAAGGAATCCACCCTCCTATTACGGTATTATATATGAAAGAGAAAGCCAAATCAGTGCTTTCATCCAAGAGAACCGATGAAGCTATCAAGAGTTCCAGAACACTGAGATTTTTTTTTTGGGGGGGGGGGGGAGGAAGCACTCCAGAGACAGCTGAAAGAAAAGAGGATAGTGGAACACTTGAGATGATAAAACCTGCTCTGAGAAATCAATCTGCCTTCCACGAGATCCTTTGTCCACACCAATCTGAAATAAAGTAAACAATCTATGACAACAGCGGTTAAGCACGTAATACTGGAGTCACAGTAACACACGCTGCTACAGTCAATTCACATGAACCCATCATAAGAAATCTCAGCTACGCATACACGCAAGCCCCAAAAGCGTCCATAGATTTTAACGCCTGTATGTAAGACTAGAAACCATGCATGCACAAGCACTAGGTACGTCCAAGAAGCTATGGATAGTAAAGCAGTCTCCACAGCTACAAGTGAACTCTACAATTCCCCGGAATCATGGAAATTAATCAATAGACGGAATTTTAAAACGGAGAGAGAGGCACCTCTCCTACTGCAGCAGAGGGTGTAGCATCAAAATATTCTTTCAGGGTCTTGAACCAACTGGGGCTCCTCTGCGCGACAAACCTGCAGAGAAGTCCCAAATCCTTTATGGCCATCCGAATCAACTCAAGTACTCAACCAAAAAAGGAAACGCAATGAACAAGCGAAAACGACGATACTGATATTAGAAATGACCATGGGTGGAGACCGAAGCAGGGAATGACGGAAGGATGGTTTTCGCTCATCTCCTTAACCAGGTGCCAGTCTTTCTCGGAAACTCCATTAACCGCAAAGCACACAACTCCAACATCTTGGGCTGCCTTGACCAATTGAGGGGTCTTACTTAAAATTCTGGAGTCCTGCAGGTGACAGTGTGCATCGAACAGCTTGATCATCACTGCCTCTCAAATTTGTGATGTCTTGATTTGATATGATGATATCGGTGTTTAATACGAGAATCTCCGTAAGAAGGTAACTCGGACGCCAGAGCTCTTCCGGACCATTTAATCTTTTTTGGGGGGCAGAGTTTTAAGCGTGACCAATTCTAGGCAGGTTTGACTTATTGGGTCTAAATTGGGTGAACCCGCAGTCCCCAGCTTACATTGTTGGGCTTGAGTAGGCAGCCCAAATTGAAATAGGGTTGTGCCCCAAAAAACAAAGATGCGGGGTTATCGCCATGGTTTTTTTTTTGACTGAAGGTTTATTGACTTAGAACGCCTTGAAAGGTCAGGATAACTTTTGATTAGTTTTTTGGCCGAAGATAACTCATGATTATCTAGTTTTATAAAATCAGTGCTCTTCTGGGATTTTGCTTAAAATGAAGATATGCATTGTTCTGGGACAAGGCAGAAATGTGCACTTTAATAAATGCAAGAAACATTGAAGTTACTGATAATAATTTCCCTTTCATCCATGTGCCGCTCCTTGAAGAAAGATGTGGGACGATAAAAGAAAAGGAAAGTAATTAATTATTAACTAACTCAACCAATGACCCGACACAAAGGGAACGAGGCAACCAAAGATCTGGGGCCCAATGATTTAAGTAATATCTCGGTAAATTCCATTTCTGTAACATCAAAAGCAGGACTAAGGAACATCACAATGTTTAAATGCAGAAATCCAAATGGCCCCGGGAGCGCCTTGAAGGAAATGAATTGAATTTACACCAGCACAACTAAACGACGATGAGTCGTACTACTCAATACTGAAGAAACAAAGTCAAAGAATGAAACAATACGCCTTTTGAATTACCACTAGAGATCATTAAATTTTAATTCAAGAGCTGCTGAAACTGGTGGCAATAGGGATGACGATTACGAGGATCAGAATCAGGAGAAGTATGATTCCAATGCACATCCACTTTCTGCTGCTCCTCTGGTATTTCTTTGCAGTCTGCAGATTTTTAGTCCCATCCTTGACATAGTGGGAAGCATGAAGCACATGGTGCTCAATGTCGTCCATCTTCTCGCCCTGAGCTTCAACCATCACCGCCATGTCCAGAAACACCTGGTGCAGCTCCAGTAGACTCTTCTCGATCTCTTTAGCAGCATCGTGCCTGTCCTGTATCTCCACCACCGTCTCTAGAACTTTCCCTCTCCCGTGCTCTTGAATAGCTTTGCTTAGGAACTCTTCTTCCCCATTGGATATGATCTTCTCAATCACTTCTTCATCTGGGTGTTCCCCTGTTACAGTAAAATAGCGTCTTCCCACTGTCTCTTTGTATTCAGTCATCATCCTCTGCCTCAGCTCCTGAAACTCCATCATTAGCTCCTTCAGTTTCTTGCGAAGGCCATTGGTGACTGAAATCCTGGTTCTGTAAATGGCAGGCGTGCCGTCTTTGAGGCCAGAGAGCCTCCTATTGGCCGCATTAGCTCGGTCCATTTCTTCCAGTTGAGACCGGATTGTTCTGGCCTTCTTAAGCACAGAGACGATATCGGCGTTGATTCTGATCCTTAAGGATTTTAGAGCCTCAGGATTGTGCAGGGATTTACTTTCTTCGTTTGCTTGCTGAAGTTTGCCCAGAATGTCACGGAGATCCGCCATCTCCGTTTTCACCTTCTCGGCCTCTTCCAGGAAGAGACCCATGTCGGTATCCAATTGATTTGTTGAGGAGCGAAGTTCCACGCCGGATGGAGGAAGACCAGCTTCCAGATCCACTTCGTCTTTCATTGCGGCTTTCTTCAGATCCACGTAGCTCATGAAGGATTTGGTCATGAGGTCGTTCATTTTTGCTATCGGTGTTGTTAAGTTCCTGCAGAGACCGATGAAAAAAGATCAGAACTTTTGCTCTCTGCAATTTGAAATTGATAGAGCAGGCAATAGAGAGCAAAGTCGACAACGCCTCACAAAGCAGAAGAATTCGTATTTCCAGACAAGGGAAAAAGGGGGGCTTAAATCTTTACCTTAAGCGGCGTAATATAATCTCTCTACACAGGGTGAGAGCTGAGAGAGACTTTGAAGTGGAGTTGAGAAAAAGTGAGACGGACCAAACTGTTTTATGAACTGGGAATGCCCAACGGATAGTTTCCAGAAAGCATGAGAGAAAGTAGCCGTTAGGAATTAGGACACCCTCGCAACGGCTACTTTTCTTCAATTCTTCCTGACATTTAAAAAAAAAAAAAAAAAACTCCGTTGGAGGGCATGGAGGATGGGACCTCCATGTGCCAATACGTGGCAGTGACGCACTGGCTGGCATAAATAATGTATTTATTTAAAATTGAATAATGAATATTTTTGCAATTGAGGATGGGACCTCCATGTGCTAATTTTGATGCCATAATCTGAAACCATGGTTTGGGTCAAAACCATGGTTTTGGAACCCAGAATCATAGTTTCAGGAGAAGTGAATACATTCTGCTTCTGGCTCAAATTGGAGAGTATGATTGTATCTGTCAAAGTAGATCTCAACAATAATATGACTTTAACATCCCTCAATTAATTTTTTAAACATATTAATCTTATATCTTATAAATATATACATGCACATATTAATTATTCATTAATTATATTATCTTATATATTATTAATTATGTTAGTAAAAAATATATTATTAACAATTTTATTCCTTCAAATTAAAATATATCATAAAATCTATCTTTTATTCTTTCTAGAATTTATTTTCCAGAAATTATTCTTCAAATCATGGTTTGATTTTATCCAAATATCCCCTTAAATAGACTTATTTGAGATCCTACTATTTAACCAAACAGGTTCTTAATATACAGATAGATATGGCCACTTCGGCGAGTGAATCTTTAACCTCAGTGCACTGATTTGGCGGAAAACATGGATGCATAGGCACAACGCAAGGCATGACGATGATCAATTACCATGTCTAAAGCACAATATACAATTTTGAACAAAAAAAAAAAAGGCGCAATATATAATACCTCCAGCGCAGAGGCGTGGCAGATTTGGTTCCTGCGTCTGTAAATTTAATTTTAAAAGCCCACCGTTCATGTCTTTTAATTTATTATTTTAATTTAATTTTTCATATTTTGAATTTATATATTCTTATTAGATGTCAGAGACTTGGTTCCTGCATGCGTAGATTATGTGAATTTAAACGCCTCTTTGCCAAACTTTCAAAACCATAGTTTTGGAACCCAAACCTGCCAAACAGGAAAAGAAATTGACAAACTATGGTTTTAGATCAAAACCATGGTTTGGAGCTCAAAACCATAGTTTCAGAAGAAGTGAATTCATTCTGTTTCTAGCTCAAATTAGAGAGTATGATTGTATCTGTTAGAGTTAATCTCAATAATAATATAATTTTAACATCCTCAATTATTTTTTATAAACATATTTAATCTTATATCTTATAAATATATATACACATATTAATTATTTATTAATTATATTATCTTATCTATTATTAATTATATTGGTAAAAAATATATTATTAATAATTTTATTCCTTCAAATTAAAATATATCATAAAATCTATCTTTTATGTAATTATCATATTAACTTATACTTTTTTTAGTAATTTGTATATATAAAGCGTGCTTCTAATAACAATTATTCAAACACTCTCACTTCTCAAAATCATTTTTTCACAAAATCTATTCTCCAAAAACTATTCTCCAAACCATAATTTGGTTTTATCCAAATACCTTTTTAATTTAATAGGACCTGCTAACAGCTTTATACTTAGTGGCACGAAAACTTCTAGATAAATCGAGAATTAAGATGTTATGAATTTGATCTCACTCATAAATTTAGGCTGTTAATCTTTTTCTTCTAATAAAAAAAAAATTACAACAGTTTTCAAAAAGTTAGGGTTAGAAAAGTTTATTGATATAAAATATATTTTGACCCACCCAGAAGGGACCTCTAATCTTTGATATAAAATATATTTTATTGTGTAATTTGCAAAATAAATCGTATATTAGTGATTGACTATAACATCTTAGCACCTCCAATCTTTAATATAAAATTTATTTTATAATATAATTTGTTTTATAAAATAAATTTTATATTAATGATGGAAAGTCGCGTCTCGAGAGCCTGCATTCCTACCCTTGTTTTTTTGCTCGCCATCTTCTCCGTTAATTTAGATGTAAATGTCCTAACTACATAGGAAAACGCGACCACCAAGGTTAGATTTCCACGTCACAATCCCATTAAATTAAATTAGAATAATCATGCACGCACATATATTATTTCTTCTATCCTTAATATAAAATCTAATTAACTAACCTAAATAGCTTTAAAATATTATTTAAAATAGTTAATATGATATATTTTTTCTAAAATATTTTAAGCATATTCTTGAATTTCTTCCATACCTCTCTTGCTTAATTAATACTGAAAAAATATTAATAAGATTAATTTTTAAAAATTAATAAATATGTAAATTATCTTTTATATATAAAATTAACATTAACTCGCTTATTCGTACGTTAATCACTGTAGGAGTACTTTACAAGTTTGTTAGAGGTAGAAAAAATGGCCATAAAATTGATTGCACCTTATGGTGTACGCAATCTCATCTTATGCTGTGAGTTTAATGAAGCTGAAACGCATGGTTTGCTGGGCAGCACTTTTCCTTAATTTCCCCACTCCTTAAAACTGTGTCCGATACATTCATTCCGTTTCTTGTATGACGGCGCGGGAGCTGAAAGTTTCAGAACGACTCGCTTTATTTGTCTCCTTCCGAGTCCGACTCGGCGGCCCAATTGGGTATTCTCCCACTTTCACTTCACTGCTCTCCAATTTACAGTTGCGATTTATGAGACCATTTTAGACACACACAAACATACTGACACCCAAATCGCATTTATCTCACTCCATTTGCAGACATTGACAGATTCTTGTCCTCGTCGTTCTTGTTCCTTGGCAAGGGCCGTTTACTCATTGCCTACGCCACCAATAATATCGCATTCACGCGGCTGTCACGAGCTTGCTGCTTCTCGATCTTGAAATTCGCATTTGCGTTTAGTTCTGTCGGAGATAGATTGTTGGTGGAAAGTTACCAGATACAGAGCTGGAGCCTTTACAAGAAACCAAGCAGTTGAAGGGTCCCCCTGCCACTGTCAACGGTCAGATCCGTTATCGATCACCGTCTGCTGCCGAACTTTTTGAAGGCCAGGCCGGGAATTCTCCGCCGTCCAGTTCCTCTGACCAGCACCCTGGTGAAAACGAATCTAGCAAAATGCTCAAGCGTCCCGGCCGTCCAGAGTCCCTCTCCGATAAGATCTACAGGTTTCGCGGGGTTTTGTTCGTGGTCTCAGTCCCGCTTATCCTCATTACTTTTGTGCTCTACTATATGCCCGCCAGTTCTTCCAACGAGTCCATAGAGGACTATGCTCTCACTCATCGTAAAATGTCTCCCAATCACAAATCATCCAACTCTTACGCGGTCATCTTCGATGCTGGCAGTTCTGGCAGCCGTGTCCATGTCTTCCATTTTGACCAGAACTTAGATCTCGTTAAAATTGGCGAAGATCTCGAGCTTTTCGTGCAGGTGACATTTTATTTTGGTATAGCTTTTTTGCTCGTAGATTGTACTCATTCATGTCAGTTCTCAGCCTTTTTACGTCTGACGCTATCAATTTTCCTGCTATAGATTAAACCGGGTCTAAGCGCATACGCCCAAGATCCAAGGCAGGCAGCCGAGTCCCTAATTTCTCTTTTAGATAAGGCGGAAAGTGTTGTTCCCCGTGAATTGCGCCCCAAGACACCTGTGAGAGTTGGGGTGTGCTTCTCTGGTCCCTTTGGGCTTTGGCCTGCATCTGTTATTTACGGCACTAGGATATCTTAATTTTAACTTGCGAGTTTCTGAAGTAAAATTGAATTTCTGTGCTAACGCAGGCAACTGCAGGTTTGAGGGCTTTGGGAGGGGATGCTTCAGATAGGATCTTGCAAGCGGTAACCATCCTACATCGTAACATTTGGAACGCTTCAGTGGTTCTATACATTCTTCTGACTTTTGACTTCCGCATTTTAAGGTCAGGGATTTGCTCAAGGAAAGGAGCCTTCTAAAAGCTGAGGCTGATGCAGTTATTGTGCTGGATGGAACCCAAGAAGGAGCTTTTCAATGGGTATGATTCATGAACTTAGTTTTCCAAAATGTTAAATGAAAATTGTATGATGATTCGGACCTCATATACATGACAGAACGTGTAATATCCCTGAGAGATTGGTTTACTTTCCATGGCATACGCAGTGTTATCGAATTGTGGTTTTCTTGGCTGTCAACTAAGCTTTTTAAAGTCATTACCAAGAAATTTACGTTATCTACTATGAATTCATCTTGCAGAAAATAGAAACTTCAACTAACATAGATCACAGTGTTAATCTCTCGCTTGTTGATTTTCTGGATGGTTTATGACTTAATGGTCATTTCATGGTTTGAGTAGTGCACAGAGGGGTTCAAGAGTGCGTAACAGGAGTAGGGTTAAACTAAGCTTTTGGTCATGAAGAAATGATAAAGGATTTGAGATAAGGTTGATAGAATTCTCTCACCACCCGCTTTATCTTTTTTCTTCTTTTGTAAGTCAATTTGTATACTAGGTTCGTTGAGTAATTTTATGCAAAAAGAATAATTCAAGACCTGCAGATATACATCTTACTCAGTATAGTCATGAATCATGAATGAAGTATTGAGTTGAAAGCATGATGCTTGTTACCCGCTGGCCTCTCTGTTTCGTACTTACTATACAAGAATTTAATCCAACTTCTGCCCGATACTTTTTAGTTATATATACCATAAATGTCATAAATGTTCCTATGGCTTTTCTGAACCCACTAAAGTTTCACTCTGTAACAGAACATTTCCATGGCACAGAGTATGTTAAAAGAATCGATATGAACATTAAGTAGAGTAGAAATTTTAGAATCTGTTGTGTCCTTTGAAGAGCAAATGTGGTATTTTGTTTGTCTTAAGTTACCCTTTTTATCTTTCAGGTTACCATTAACTATCTCTTGGGAAACTTGGGAAAAGATTACTCAGAGACAGTCGGAGTGGTTGATCTTGGAGGTGGATCTGTTCAAATGGCATATGCCATCTCAGAGACAGATGCTGACAAGGCTCCTAAATCACTGGATGGGGAGGATACATATGTCAAGGAGATGTTCCTAAGGGGGAGGAAATATTACCTCTATGTTCACAGGTTTTCTTTCCACTCTAGATTTGCCCGTGAATTATTACTTATTAGGATATTACACTGTACGACTAATGGTACAGTTGGTTAAATACCTATTATGTGATACCATCTTCCATGGCTAATCGTTTTTAACATCTTGCCTTTCAGCTACTTGCGCTATGGTTTACTGGCAGCTCGTGCCGAGATTTTGAAGGCTTCTGGTGATTCTGAGAACCCTTGTATCTTATCTGGCTATGATGGTAAATATAGTTTTTCCTTTCTGCAATCTTGGTGCTTATTTGTTGCCAAGCAATTTGCATTTTCCTCTCTCATATTTAACATTAATTTTATGGGGAAAAGATATCTTACAGTAATGTGCTGTAAGTTTTAAAATACTTCTTCATGTAGCATATAACGCCAACAACGACGGATTTCCTGTTCTTGCCAGGGTCTTACAAATACGGAGGAAAGTCATTTAAGGCCTCAGCCTACCCTTCTGGTGCCAGCTTGAGCGAGTGCAAAAGCATAGCTTTTAAGGCTCTCAAAGTTAATGAGTCGAGTTGTACATACATGAAGTGCACCTTCGGTGGCATATGGAATGGTGGAGGAGGCGATGGACAGAAAAATCTTTTTGTTGCCTCATTCTTCTTTGACCGGGCTGCTGAGGTTTTTTTTTTTTTTTTAAATTTTTATTTTGTTGCAAACTTGGAAATAGTGCTGAAGTTTGTCTTCCTTAGTGTTGCTGTATTGCCGCGCTAATCACATATTTCATTCATAGGCGGGCTTTGTCGATTCAGAATCACCGACTGCCAAAGTTCGTCCAGTGAGTTTCGAGGAAGCCGCCAAGCGAGCTTGTGAAACAAAACTCGAAGATGCCAAATCTACTTATAAACATGTTGAGGACGGGAACCTTCCATTTCTATGCATGGATCTTGTATATCAGTACACATTACTGGTTGATGGGTTTGGTAAGTTCGCAATAAATGTTAAATAAATAGTTATGCACGCAGTTTGGTTGTGATGTTCTCTGCAAAATCTGACCTGCGGTTTTGTCTTGTTGAACTGATTGGTTTCCATTTATTGGCAGGCCTAGATCCGCAGCAGGAGATTACATTGGTGAAGAAAGTTAGATATCATGGTGCTCCTGTTGAAGCAGCATGGCCCCTAGGTAGCGCTATTGAAGCCGTATCATCTGTGTAGTGAAGTCAGTTTCATCCTAAATTTTGGGCCACGCGAGTTTGATCACAAATTTTTGAGGTTAAATGCTGCCATTTCATGATGACCAGAAATGGCATCAGGCTAAATTGAGATCGAATATGAGTTTACATTTCAGGAATAATGGGAGAAGGTAGTTGCTTGATTTTTCATTTGTAATTAATTAGTTTCACAGAATATCCGATTTACAGCTCCAGAAGGCTGATTCATTTCCATAATTCTATTGATTCATTTAGTTGTCATAACCGATGAATGTTGACACCACGACGTCAGTTTTGTTCCTCGAATTAACTGTATCATTCATAATAGAAGTTGATCGTTGGAAGCCCAGCTGAAGGCGAACGCCACGCTTCCTTTTTGCTTATTCTTAAGTGGCGAAGCATTCTTTATGTTTTCTATGTAACTCGTGTACAGGTCTTGTTCGAGAGAGGTCGTTCCTTCACTGTGATTTCAGACCGTCCTTGTTTATGACTTTTAGGGGGTGTATGGATATTTCTTCAAGAGAAAACCAAACACCACATTTTTTTCTCAAAATCAATTTTAAATTTGAAGCCACGGTTTGAATAAGAGTAACCAAACACCTTAATTTTTTCTAAAATTATTTTTGATTTGAAAGCCCTGGTTTTGGGTATAAATAGGAAAAAAAAATTATCCACGCTTCCTTATTCGAATGTGACTGTAGGAGTGTTTAGATAAAATCAAATTATGGTTTGGAGAATAGCTTCTAGGAAGAAAGTGATTTTTGAAATAGATCTTGAAAAAATAGATTTTGTGAAAAAGTGATTTTGATAAAGTGAGAGTATTTAAATAGTTGTTATAAACATTTTTTATGTGCAAGTTACTAAAAAAACATAAGTTAATATGATAATTACATAAAAAATAAATTTTATAATATATTTTAATTTGAAGAAATAAATTTGTTAATAATATATTTTTTACCAACATAATAAATAATATATAAGAAAATATAATTAATAAATAACTAATATGTGTATATATATTTATAAAATATAAGATTAACATGTTTATAGAAAATTGGTCTATCAAGCACCGAAGGTAGAAGAAAGCTTATATTGAATATGGGGGTGTTTTTTTGTCAAATTATTCTCCGACGGTATAATTATCACCCAATAGTCCTCCATTTTTTTGCCCAAAAGCCAATTGGTTTTGCTTTTCTGAAAACTATGATTTTAGGTTTCAAAACCATGACTTCATCAATTTCTTATCTGTTTGGCAAATTTTGGATCCAAACCATGCATTTTTCTGCTGTCTGCCAAACAGGCCCTGTGACTGAACACCGACGATTCCAGCAAAATATCATGCTTCCTCTAACTGTTGGGAGTTGGGACACGGATGGATCTAATAATTATTCATGTGGCTTAAAAATTTTATTGTTTTAGAAAATAAGTGTATAAAAAGGAAAAAAAATCTAATGGTAACCGCCTTGACATTTTATTTTTAGGGTGGCAAGTTATGATAAATCCATTTATATACATTCTAAATTTTAATAAGAGACTTCGTGAATTTAGTTAAGATGTGGGTAACATAGGACAAACTTCGGTAAATTTTACAGATGAAGTTATAAATATACACGTCTTTTAATAATTGATAATAACAAAATAATAATTATCATATTTCGTATCTAAGTTTATAAATGTGTGTACGATCTAATCCCTAAAAATAATAAAATAATAAGTATTTATATGAAATCCTAAAATATATTATGAAACATGAAAGAAATGGGCATTTTTCAAGTCCTAAATCTGAATTTGACCAAAAAAAATAAAGTCCTAAATCCGAATGCTCACTCTGAACGACGCCGTTGCTACGGGAAAACACCGCTAAAGCCAGATTAGGGGAGAACCCCCTGTTCTCGCCGGTCTTGAGCCTCTCCTCGAATGCTCTGGGTTGGGTCTCTCGCCGTCGCCCCACCAGCCCACCGTCATTCGTCAAGTGGCTTCTTGCCTCACAAGTTCGAGGCTTTTCATCTTTCTTGTCTCTCACCCTCCCCAGGTGAGTGAGTGCCGTTCATGTATTTTGGAAATTTTTTGTTGTGGCTTTTTTTTTTGGACATTACTCTTGCTGCTGGAATAAATCAATTCACATGGTCCTTTAATCTAGATCATTGGCATTCGGGCATCTGAAATAGATATAATACTTTTTCAAGCGAATTTTAATCTAAATGTCCAGGTATATTTGATGCTCAACATCTGATTTGGATTGATGGTAAATGCATCTCGACAATATTGATCAGCTTGGACTAAACACAATTTGAGAATCTATTGTTCTTTTCTGCTCCATACCCTTTCTTACTCCACGAGACTAATTGTGACAATAGAGCTCTTGGATTTGTTGGATTAGCTACCGGCTGTATAGTGATTTAGTTTGATATTTGTATGTGTAGTTAACTAGTTATGATCTCTATTTGTCTCAGCCTTATAAGTTATCTGGTAAAAATGGATTTTTGTTTTTAACTTGAATGCAAAATTGTATCCTCTCTCTTCTCTTCACTTGAATTTTTAGAAAGTTGTAATTTTTGTCCTCTCAAATGCAGAGCTTTTTAACTTAAACGGAAAAGTTGTATGCCCAGGAAGGACTATTTTCCTTTATTGATGTTTTCCCCCCTTTTCCAATGCCGGCTCGTTGGCTTGCTCCTTTAACTTGGGCATGCTGCTTTGATGGTGCTAATATTCATTCTTTCACAATATGTTTGCAGACTTTGGCTCTGTACCTACTAGCGAGCTGCTGACTCTGACATTGTGATTGAGTTTCTGCAAAGCATTTAAAAATCTTATTCCAGGGGGCACTAAGATTTGCAATATACAAACATTTTGTGCTCCATGATATCAGTTTGGATTGCATTTCTTTCGGTAATTCTCACATACTTCCACTTCAGTTTTACAAATGAAGTGGTGATCTACCTATGCAGTCCTTTCATTATATGTCAGAGCCTTTTTTATCATCATATTTCTATTTTAACATACAGCAGTGATCTTTGCATTTCTAATTTCTACCACACATGATCACAATTAGATCTAAGCTATCTGTTTTTTCTCTAATGGTACCATGCATTTATCAAAACTTACTTCCAGTTAGTTTCAATCATATAGTTGAGCGGCCCCTGACTTCTGCCTTCAATCCCCCTTACCCTTTAGAGTCTGACTCCTCCACCACTCCAACAAAGTTGGGTTTTTCGCTTCTGTTCTTTTGTTCTTCATCTCCAACCAGAAACTTTGGGTGGTCAACTGATTCCCCTAAACTCAGATTGGATGAGGCCTTAGGTGATGAGGAGGAAGATGAGGATAAAGATAAAGATTATGAAAGGAATGATACCCACGTTGGCCACTGTAGGGACGGTCTTGCTGAAGATGTGAAAACCATTTTGAATATAATACATAACTCAGGGCGCAGAGCGTCTGAAATTGAATACAAGCTTGAGAAGTGCAATATTACAACATCATCTGAGTTGGTTGTGGAGATCCTTTCAATAATTCGCAATGATTGGGAAGTAGCTTTCACTTTTTTCTTGTGGGCCGGCAAGCAACCAGGTTACACTCATTCCATTCAGGAGTACCATTCTATGATATCTATCCTTGGCAAAATGAGAAAGTTTGACATTGCTTGGGCATTAATTGAGGAGATGAGAGGAGGTAAATCTGGTCCATCTCTTGTCACTCCTCGAACTCTCTTGATCATGATTAGACAACATTGTGCTGTACGTGATGTTGGGATGGCTTTAAATACATTCTGTGCTTATAAACAATTTAACTTTCAAGTTGGATTAGAGGAATTTCAAAGCCTTCTTTCTTCGCTTTGTGAATACAAGAATGTACTAGATGCTGAGCACCTATTCTTCCGCCTTAAAAGTGTATTCCCATTTAATACCAAGAGCTTTAACATTATCCTCGATGGATGGTGTAATGTGATTGTTAGCACATTTCATGCGCAGAGAATTTGGCAGGAGATGAGTAGGAGAGGAATCAAATATGATGCCGTCTCATATGCCTGTATTATGTCTTGCTATTCAAAAGCTTTTAAACCTGTTAAGGTGCTGAAACTTTTTGACCAGATGAAGAAAATGAACATTACTCCAAATAGGAAGGTTTATAATGCCGTCATTTTTGCTCTCGCAAAAGGTAGGTGGGTAAAAGAAGCTGTCAACCTTGTGAGAACTATGGAAGATGATGGAATTGTTCCAACTGTTTCTACGTACAGATTGTTGATCAAGGCTCTTTGCAAAGCTCACTTGATTGAAGAAGCTAAAGTAATTTTAGATAAGATGGTGGGGAAGGGCCTATGCCCTACAATTCAGACTTACCATGCTTTGTTCCGTGTTTTAAGGGCTAAAGAGGAGGCATTTGAACTTTGGATCAAGATGAGAGAGGCGGGTTGCGAACCAACTATTGAGACTTACATAATGTTAATAAGGAGGTTTTGCCAATGGCGCCAGCTTAATGTTGCCCTTAAGTTATGGAGTGAGATGAAGGAATACGGGTTCAACCCTGATCGTAGCTCTTACGCTGCACTGATTCATGGCTTGTTTTTGAACGGAAAATGGGAGGATGCTTCCAAATATTATTTAGAGATGCGAGAGAAAGGCTTCCTCCCAGAACCTAAAGTTGAGAAAATGATTCAGGTATGGGTGTCTAGGAGACAGCAATCAGAAGATCCAATGGCAGTCTTGCTGCGTTCTCATCTAGGGCATAATACTGTGAGATAGAAACACAAGGTTACACCATATAAATTTGATCAATAAAAATGTCGTTCACCAACATGAGACCAGAAGAGTACCAGGAGGCCGGTTTCTCTTCTTGGGATCAGTAGATTCATATGGTACAGAAAGTCCCAGAGGTGGCATTCTCTTTGGAGATTACACTCGTCGGTAAGCAACCTTGTTAAGTTGATTTTATGGTTCAGCCCGAAACTGATTCAAAAGCTCTGTTCTCTATTTTGACTTCCACTTTTAACAGACATCTCGAAGTATGGATTTTATTCTAACGGCCTTTTTGGTTGCTTGCAGGGAATTCTTGTATAGAACTTCTGATCAAAATCAGAATGCACACACCAATATTAGACAGGGAATTGCCAGTGAAGACGTTTGAAATTTGTGCATCTTTGGGGGATTTTCCATCAGTTTCTTCCAAGTCCAAGCGTGGTTTTTTGGGCTCCCCAAAAACAATGTGTGATTTCCTCAGCTCCACGTGCAAACAGTGCACGGAGGAAGCAGCCATCCTGGAAAGCCGTACAGGAAGCAGTTCCCAGCCAGCCATCCCCTACCCATCAGACGGTCAATAAATAAGGGAAAGAAGTAGAAGGCCCGCGGGTCGTGAACTTCTTTTCCTGGAGAAGTACTCCGCTCTCTTTCATTCTTACAAACCACAGAACGTCCATGTTTTCTTAATTGTTTAAAAACAGTTTCCCAGCCTTTGTCGTGCTGTGTAATATGCATGCAGGCATGATATGAACATCAAGTTTCGCTAGAACTTGGTAGAGCCGAGAGGACGTTCTGCTTCTACATATCCTCCAAGGCTGCTCAGAGACGAGAAAGCTGTGGAGTTCGAGTATAGGAATCAAGCACACGACCAGGTTCTTTAATGCCGACCTTTAGGATTGGTGCGTGATGAATCTTGCTCAAAATATAGGGAACTGCGAAGGAAGCTGGGCTGACTTCTTCACCGTGACCTGTTGGCTGCTTTGGAGATACCGCAATGAACGCCAGAGCAACGTGGTGGAAGGTCCCAGGCTGAGAATGCTTGAAGGGAACGCCCCTCCTCTTGAGATTTGGGCTTGCATGTTGGGTCGCGATTGGGAGGTGGCACTACATCATCTGGAAAGAGAAATGATCAAGGAAGCGGACTGCCTCGCTAAGCGTGCCCTCGGTCACCCTCCCCGGATGTCTGGGCTTTGTGGCATGATTGGTAGCCGGGAAGGAAAAAGAACTTGATTTCCTCTGCATCTGACATCATTAATTTGGGCCTCTCGAGAAATTGTCGTTACCACTATTTCCTACAGCCCGTGCCTATCGGCTTCCGATTGAATTTTATAACTTTTACAAACTCGCCGGCCTAACTGAACTCGGGAAACTTCTTTGAGGTGGTGTTTAGAATACCCTTAAAATTCTTTTAAAAAATACTTCTTAACAAATCGGTAAATTTTTTCACATTTAATTTGTATACTCTAAACCTACTTTTAAAACTATGGTTAATTTCCATGCAAATATTTCTTAAATCAATTATCACTATCTCCACGTTTGTTCATTATTTGCTTGTTTATTTGTTTTCAGAGTAAAATATAGTGTGTGTTTGGATTATTTTTTGGAGAACAATACTTGAAAAGAATATATTTGGAAACTGTGGCTTGCCTGAAAGTTGTACCGGTGTGCTTCACTGAAATTATGTTTTTGGGCCCTAGAATTGATTTTGGATTTTAATGGGTGTTTGGGTAATCTGTTTTCAAGCCATGGCTTACATTTTTTTTTTTAAAAAAAAAAAAGGTTTTGGCATCCAATCTAAGCATGCTTTTTCAGTGCTTTTTCAGTGAATATTGGTAATGGTAGCGGGACTGTCATTCCTGCGGAAAATATACTCCTAGTTTAACTTTTTATTGCATTTAAATTGTTGGTTTAATCTTTTAATTTTAAAAATATCTTTTTAATTCTCTGATATTATGGTTTTTTCAAACAATCATTGTTATTTTGGAAATTAAATTTAATACGAAAAAGTATTTTATTGACATTTAAAATTTGAACATCAATATATTTGACAGGGTTAGGGTTAAAAAGTTTTTAAAATATTTTATAAAATTAAAGAATCAAAATAAAATCACCAATCATTAGTATAAAGGTACTAATATTTAATTCCCGATAATATTTGGCAAAAAAATATATCTAATTAATAAATCTGATTCTTCCTTGCAGATGTTTTTGTACTTCGGTAATGAATTAGGCGATGATAGGGCATCAATACATTCGTGCGAATTGGTGGGTGAAATCACTCCGACTCTTCAGACTTCGGGGACTGATTTTGTTCAGATTTGTTTGAGCACCAACCCCAACACAAGTCATAATAATTATAAACAGACAAATTTATCACGAGGGAGTAGTCAAAATCAACGAAGAAAGGCATGCCTATAGTTTTTTTTTTTTTACTTGACTTTAGAAAGATAGCCCCTATTATTTTATTTTATCACGGCCAAAAACGTGAATATCGTTTCACATCAGCGGACAATATACGATTGCTTCATTGCCAAAAAAAGTTATTTTATGCTTTATTATTGATTATCGCGATTATTTTATTACCCTCGTGATTGGTTATCTTATTATTCTAATCCCATGTTTGACGGGAAAGTCTTGGAAGATCCCTCCTTCGGGATTAAAAAACTGGAGGTTAAAAATCTTCCATCCTTCTACCTTCAAATTGATTGATTTTGGAGAAAAATGTGTTAAACTTTGGTTATAACCATGAAACAGATTCCAACCCTTCTTTTATCCCCTACGTCAAGTCACAAACTAATGGATTGGGTGAGTCAATGTATTAAAAGCGTTTTTCATAATTGGATGAATTAAGAAAATACTACAAAACATTTACAACTCAGTAAACTATAAAAATGGTAACATATGATTAACGATAATTAACGATTTTTAGCAAGGCATAAATGAAAATAGTAATAAATACGTGGCATATCTATCGCATCGAACAACTCAGGCTCTTCGTGGTGCTGGGTTTTTTCAATCGAAAAATACTTACATGCTCTGAGGGTACCAGATCATCTATACTCTCTCCAATCAAAATATAACAGCTCATATAATTGGTATCAAAGCCGCCAACTTTTATGTTATTTGCTTGTTTTATATTGCTTTACTTTTGAAATAATAATGTATCTAAAGTAAAATCCAATTTGCATAAACTATTTTAATTAGTTTATTCATCAAATCTCTCTCTTATCCTAGAGAATCTTGTCTTTTTTTCGTAAGAAACTGTGTCGCTAACAGGTAACAGGGGGTTTCGTGTGGCTGCTGCACTGGTGAAGTCTTAGCCTCTCCATAACCTCTCTCTCCCTTTCTTGAAACGGGGCGGCAAGAAACACAATAAGAGCAACCATCGCTTTTTTTATCCTATCTCTGGTGATAAAAACAATCTGATTTTCATCTCAGGGAGAAATGTCAGAAGCAAGAGTACCAACCTCAACCTTTGGAGAAAGTTGACTACAATGAAACTAACAATGAGGTTGGAGGTAAAAAGAGGAGGAACGAAGAAGTTAAAGACGTCGGAGTTGACCGAACAGTGTAGAAACCATGGAGTCTGAGACCGAAGAAATTGATTTCCTCGACAGGTACGATTGAGACCGAAGGCAAAGCCATCAGCTAGTTTGCTAACTAATCAAAAGCGACCACATTTAGCAGCGAGGTGCCATCAACAAATAACAAGAGAAGAAAAAGAGTGGTTACCCAACAACCCTTATTAGCAACGGAGCTTCATAATACTCCTCCGGTCCTTATTATAAGACCCCATTTGACTTTTTATTTGGTCCTAATTATAAGACCCCAATCCATTTTGTCTCTATATTTATGCATTTTTTTCCAAGATAATCCTTATAATAATGATAGTTTTAGCCAATATACTTAATTAGTAAGGATATTTTAGGAATGACAATACTTATTTATTATAAATAACCAACTTAACTTACTTCCTTAATCTCTTCAAATAAGTCAATTGGGTCTTATAATTAGGACCGGAGGAGTAGAAAATACTCCTCCGGTCCTTAATATAAGACTCATTTAACTAATTTGATTAGATTAAGGAAATTAGGTAAGTTAGTTAATTATAAGAAAAGTGACACATTTTTCTTAAAACACCATAATCATCTTTCTTAATAATCCCTCTCTCTCTTCTACTTGATTATAGTTGAGGGAATATCTATAGGGGTAATTTAAAAAAATTGATAAATATGAAAAATAGGTCTTATATTTAGGACCAAAACCAACTCACTAATTGATCCTATATTAAGAACCGGAGGAGTATGAGGTTTTCTATTTTGTCGAAGAAGATGAAGATGGAGGAGAGATTTAATTAACGAATTGTGAAGTAAAATAATTTATTCAAATTGGTATTTCACTTTAAAAGCATTATTTTTCAAAAATAAAATAATATAAATTAAGTAAAACACATAAGCTAGTAGTTAGGATAAAAATGAGTGAGCTGTTGCATTTTAGTTAGAGAGAGTATAGATGATGTGATACTCTTAGAGAGGATGTTGTAAGAATTTCTCTTTTTTAATCTTGCCTCAGCACAACTGTGGTGGGGACACCAAAGAAGTCATTATTGTGAACGGACAAAATCACTACGAAGACCGGCGCTTGCCATTATTATTTAATCGTGTACCGCGGCCAAAAGAAAGAAACGTGAATGTCATGGTTGCATCCCACTCATTACCTCATTCCTGATTTTTACTGATCATCGTTATTATTTTATTTTTTATTGATTAGTTTATTACTCTAATCCAATGTTTGGTCAGGAAGTTTTTTTTTTCCTTCGAGTATAAGTATCCTCTTTCTATAAACAATTATGACTGATCGACCCTCCTTTCTGTTTGTATTAAAAAAAATGGTGGTTAATTCACCAAAAACAAAAATGGTGGTTAAAAATCTTAGGAAAAATCATAAAAAAAAGACTGTCAGAAAAAAAAAATTACATATAGCACTTATCTACAAAAATTATTGTTACCATACATACTATTGTTGTCAAAACTTATACTAATATTATTATGAGTTCCTATTTATAATTTTTTTTTATTTTGACAGTTGTTTTTAAATGATTTTTCCAAAATCTTACCTCCTCCTCCCTTCAAATTGAGGAGCTTTGGCCGGAGTGTTGCATTCTAGCTATAATTTATTTATCTCTTGGGCCAGACAGTAAATGATTAAATTTTCTTAACTAAGGGTTCAGTTTCACTTCTAATTTTATTTTGTACACTAGTATCCTGATATTTTTTTTGCTAAGTATAGATAAGTTTCTATTCAAAATACTGTTGAGCACTAAATGCAGCCGCATCTCTCAGTGGGAATTCAAACCTGTGAAGAATCAACCCTTTCTGTTAAAACTAAACTTCGTTGGCAGTTCCTTTTTTTTTTTTATTGGTACAATATTGCAGCAAAATAAAAAATTATAGACAAAATTGTGCTATTAAAAAAAACTAAAATAGAGAAATAAAATTATAAATTTCCTGTTGAACCCGAAAAAAGGGCAACAAGGAACAAATCTGAGCTTCTTTTTTTTTTTTTACGGAAAGGAACAAATCTGAGCTTGCATAAAATGAAACCACATGAAATCATATGTGAATGCAAAATATTAAATATTAAGGTGCGAGTCGATCCGCGACCCGAGAAGGGCAGATCCAGCACTCCCCTTTATTTTTATTGGTAATTGAAAGGGGGCCACAAGGCCTGTCAATCAATCTTGTTCCCTCCAAATTAAGGGTGTGTTTGTAATCACATCTAGACCTTCAAACTGACTTTTTTACCGGCAAAAAGAGCTTTTTTTGATTTGGGATGTGTTTGGAATCACATTTTTGCAATCTGACTTCTGTCACTGAAACGGACTTATACAATAAGTTCAAAAAAGCTGCTTTTATCCAATCTGACTTCTGTAAAAGTCAGACTGAAAAAAAAAAGTTACTTCTCTGCCGCTAATCCAAACACACCTTAAGTCCAGCTCCTGCTTTTCCCACCACCTCCACAAAATTTTCCCCTCCCAATTTTTTTTTTTTTTTTGTTGGCGAACAATTTATCCCACCAAATTAATTAATTACTTAATTCCGATATGGTCAGATTATATTTTCTTTTTGCCCGCATGGTCAGATTATATTTAAGGGAAAGTGACCCCAATAGTGAGTAACCAATACGTGAAATTTAATTATTTAATGAAAAAACGAATAACTCATAAGCAGCCCCGAGAGGCAAATCAAATACCTTGCTTCATTAACGTCTATATCAGAAAGCTTGGATGGCCTGTCAGTGATTATGATCTTAATGAGTACTCTAAACTCATCAAATTTGAATCGTCTATATCTTATTTAAACAGTCCTGATTTAAAAAGAATTATTTTTTAAAAGAATTATAGTTAATAGATTATC